TTTTTAAAGTTTTTTTAAATTTTTTTTAACTTTTTATTTTTACCTTTTTCCTTTTACGTTTACGTTCGTACTATATATATATATATATATATATATATATATATATCATATCCTTGATGCATGTCAACAGGCTTCTGTGGGCAATATTACTGTATCACCGGTAGATATACTTTAGTTTTCGGCAAAATGTTCTTGCGCACTGGTAACCCTTGTTCAATCTCGCACCTAGAGGAGATAGGGAAATTAATTTTTGTAGATTTTATATATACACTTTGAAATAAAAAAGAATTATAAATTACTAGATTGATACCACAAAAAAGTGCTTTAATTTATTTGGCTTTCAAACTAAACTATATGAAGATCTAAAAATGTTTGTTTCTTTCCGTAACATTTCCAAGAGTATAATGGCATTCCCTGTGTCAATAATTTAGGAAGACTGACAATATTGCATCGTTTAAAATGAGTACTTTTTATTGGTTATAAACATGTAGTCAGATAAATAGGGGTTGGCTTTGAAATCTACATTTAAGTCTAGAAGGTGGGTGTGGAGTCTGTTAGGAATTGGCAAAATTTACTTCCTGTGGCAGCAAGGAATTGACCTTAAGGAATTTGAAAGAAAGCTGTGTAAACAGATCAGTTAACCTAGTTTCAGTCTATACATTGGAAGTCTAGTGTACATTAAGAAGTATTCAAATTACAGAGACGAAAGAATAAAATTTTGAGTACTCGTGCATCATGTGACAATAAAACTGAAGCTAGAATTTTTCTTGAAGGTTTCTTTTGAAATAAAGACATTAAAAGTTAGATGATATATAACTTGGAATTATAATGCTAATTTCATTGGCATACATTGATCATAAAGCTGTTTAATTAAATTTTGAGTATAATTCAGCAAACCTCATGATGTGTTGAAAAGGGGTGCCTGTACAAGTCTGCAAGCATACAGTTAAATGAAAAAAATACTTAGTGTAGCAGTACCATTAATATACAAAAGTAGGGTTACATTTCATCAACAATAGTAACAGAAAAAAATACCCATGTAACTACTATATTTCTTGTTTTTCATGTGCATTCTTTATTTATTATTATAAAAGTAACTAAAATGTAAAATTTAGAAACTTGAGGTTAGATTAGGTAAGTAAAGAAAAATGATAACAGTAATGAAAATCTTTCATGAGGCATGCTCTTGAGCAGCAAACAAGTAGTCTGTGCCTTACATAAATTAATAGTTAATGTGAGCTACACCTTTGCCAAGTGACTTGCAACTTTCATGGCAGGATTGTTAGTTAGAAATAGTTTAAAGAGCAATAGAACAATAAAATTGAAGTAGAAATGGATGTATATTGTTACAAGTTTTTAGCTATTTAGGATAAACAAATGTAATTTCGTGTTACAATTTGAAGTAATTCTATAAAGAAAAAATGGGTAATTTAGATTTATCTCCTATTTTTTTATGGTGGTAATGAGGTTAAATTGACTGACCTTTTATAGAGTTATAATAGAGAAAATAACAGATAAAATATAAAGCATTTGAAAAAGAGTATTTCTAATCTTAACATAAATCACTTTTAGCAAAAATACTTCGTTAAAAATTCTGATTTCTTTTGTCTGCAAAATGCTTGCAAAATTTCATGAAAATACACAAAATATTAAGTTATAGTATAAAACTATAAAGGTCAATTTAGCATCACAAACTTGGCCAATTTGACCAAGCTCATAGCAAAAGTGTTAAGAAGTAGGTTTCATAGGAATTTTTAACTTGTTAGTATAAGCAAAACCTTTCAATTTTAATTATATACACTTTCTTCACTGTAGGTAGTATTTTAGTGGAAAGGAAACACTTAAATTATTTAAATATTTTAAAAAAATTTAATTCCTTTCTTACTGCAAATGTCACGGGTTTTCACTTAGTTACATTTAAAGTTTAATTAAGCTATTTTATGATCAATGTTTGCCAATTAAATCAGCATTAAAATTTACATTATAGTTTAAAGTTTTATATTAACTAGTTTAATTCCTTTATTTAAAAAAAAAATCTTAAAGAAAAATTCTTAATGGTCAGTTTTATTCTCACGTGATTCGCAATTTCACAAAACCTTAAATTTGTGTCTTTGTAGCTTGAAATCTTCTTGACATACACTGACCTTCCATGTATAAATAAAATCTAGGTTAATTGCTCTGTTTGCACATTCTGCTTTCAAGCACATTAGGGCATGTTGAAAGGAGAAATAAATTTCTCTGAACTCTTGACAGATGCCATGCCCACTTTTTAAACATAGTTACAATTTTTCAGCCAATTATACTTAGTTGAGCTAGATGTTTATAACGATGGAAGGAGCACATTTTAAAATACGTTCTACTAACAGTTATTTTAAAATTTGGGCAAATAATTCCATAGAGAACTAATCAAACTGCTCTTAGCATTGTTGCTGATTTTGTTCTTGCCACTTTAGTGTTGTTTCTCACCTAGAAATATGTTAGCTAGATACAGTTGCATTGTATTTAGATTTCAGTTTTATATTTTACTTAATTATGTGTTATTTATGTTTTAAGATGCATATTTGAGAAGTTTAATACTTTTTTTATGTCAGCCAACACTTAGGTTCTCAAGGGTTAGTGTAATACATGAATGCTACCACATTCTACTGAGGGCTGAAGTTCTTCTGCCCACTATACTGTAATATTGGCTGGGGACACCCATTGACATGTGTTGCAATAAATAATGCTAAAGGACAGGAAAGGAGAATAAAACATTAAAATAAATAGTGTGTAAGTGTAAAAACATGCAATTAAAAATATAATCAAAAGATGTTTTAAGATTATTTCTTAATATTATAAGGTATGTACATTTTTTCCTATGTCTTAATTTTAAACACTTCATTGTACTATACTATAGACTATATAGTATAAGTTGATGATAATAGCTACAGTTAGTAATATCACAGAGAATATATATAAACAATTATCTTGAATTAAAAACTTAATATTCACTTAGTAGGTTTTAGGGGTTATGCAAATGAAATTTGAAAATTGAGTTGGAAAAAAGTATTTTTATACTTGTTTTGTTGGTTTTCTAAGATGCTACTTGCATATGTTCTCATAAGCCTAAGATTTAATGTTGAATAAATAAAGCCTCTGATGTAGAATAATGAAATATTGAGATCGTAGTATTGAAATATTTTCATTGTTTGTACCTATCAATGTTATTCAAGTCACAAAGGGTAAGGGAATGATATATTTACTAGTCTGGTGAGATTAATCAAGCACCACATTTATAATAGTGAGCCTGTGTGTTTTGTTTTTTAACTTAGTGAGACTACTCAAGCCTCTGACTTAAGTCATAATGTAGGAAGTATGGAATTCAATGTTGGTGCATCAGTGTCTGATACACCATCTCTTATAGAAGAAGATAAAATTGAAGAGCTTGAACCAAGAAGGGGTAAGTAAGGAGGTTATAAACATACACAAGAAAAGTAAAATTTTTTAATGATGAAAATGCATTGAATCTTTAGTGCCCTGACTGTTAACAGTATTTTTGGCCAAATTCCAATATTATCTCTATTTTTTTGCCAGTTTAACAGATTTAGGACAGTTCTAAATCCAAATACTCCTAAGCAAATAAAGAAAAATAATTTTGAGGATGAAAAACCCACTTTTTAAAAAATTAAATTTGGTGATGGCTTGAACGAGTAATGAAGAAAACTTTTTTTATAAATGTACAACATTTCAACAAGATTGTCTTATTGTTTTTATAAAGAAGAATCATGTTTACAAGTGTAAAAACTTGTATATAAAATTTAAACATTATACTCAAACAATCTAATAATACATTGAACTGAATATATTTACAAGAATTCACGTTTTTGCTTTTGTGTGATAATAGTTTTTAATCTTTTCCTTTCCTTGTTTTCTCCATCAACAACTAAAACACATTATCATGTTGAATAAATTATAGTTATCAGTTTTCACAGATACACACAATGTTGAGCAGTAAATATAATACAACAGCAATTCTAAAGATTTACTTGGGAAGAAAAAATATGTTGTAGTTCCAGATTCCTTTCAGTGTTTATAGTTGCAAAGCTTTATTTTTAGAAGTTAAACATAGGTGTTAATCAATTGCATTAGAACTCAAATATGAGTTTTAACCAGTAGTCAACATTGTGATTTTTCTCTCTTTACAGGTGTGCAGTGTTTTCCTCAAAGGGCAGCACTTTTGAAATCTATGTTGAATTTTCTGAAGAAAGCCATCCAGGATCCTTCTTTTTCAGATAGCATAAGACATTGTAAACTATGATCTATAATATTCATATCTAATATGAAGTTTCTGTTATTTAAATGGTAGTTTTAAAGCTATTATCAAAATCAAGTGTGGAGTATGTAGATTGTATTGTTTTTTAGCATGTGTTTGAACAAAAAATATTTGGTCTTACTCCTTACTCAATCTTCCATTTTTCATAGTTTTAAAATTTTAAGTTGTCAGAGATGTTTAAAAAACCTTGTTTTTATTGATCTGAAACAGTTTGAATGAAATACATAAAATTTAAAAAGAACAACAGAGGAGTATAATACTAATGTTTCAGTTTTAACTTTATTGTACTATACATATGATGTGATTGTAGTTTTTTTTTTTTTTTTTATTAGTAATGGATGGATCACTACCAAAGTCGTTGAAACACATCATTAGTAACGCAGAATATTATGGGCCTTCACTTTTTCTCTTGGGTAAGAAGAAACAAGTTCTTCAGTTTAATAATTGTTAGATACAATTTGACCTATGATGGGGAGGGGATTAACCCCATTTTTGTTTTAGTGTTTTGAAAGCATAGAGAGCTGTAGTTATATTAGAAAATTGTTTGAAAAATGAGTTTATGACCGAAAATTCTGAATATTTAGCCATAATAATTGTGATTAAAGTAATATTTGTTTACAAGTATTTTTAATATATTCATCTTAATCCTGTCATAAGTGGCATGCACTTTTTAGGTATTGGATGTACAGCTGCATATAATAATGAAAGTCTTCCGAATATATCAGGATATTTCTAAAAAATCCTGAAAACCTCTGGTTTTCTTTCGGAGAAACACGTTTTTTAAAATTATTTATCGGATTTTGGTGTTCCATGCCATAGATAAGTGTTTATGCAATCGCGCAGTTTGTTTACATTCGGCGAATGAGTTTGATTTTA